AAAGATCTGAACAACAATATTGTGAATATATTGTATTATTTGTATTATTGGATCCTTTCCAAACCTTTATTGATGCGCACACTTGTTATTACATTTATGACCTTTTAATCTTTTTCTTTTGACTTGTGCTCATCTATCTACAGAAATTTAGGACCAGTAGCTGAAGTTGCTGTACTTTCACAACTCTTTGGATTTGCTTTACTGGTGGGAATTATCCGTATTCCAGTCCAAGCTGCCACAGGGTCTCCTTAACTCTACAGTTAAAGGATAATCCACTTAAACTGCCTCCTTAAGCGTCTTGACCGCCCTGCGTTGTGCCTTGCATGTGCTTCCTCAGGTTATTCCTGGTGTGTGAAGAACTGTGAGCTGGTCAGTGCTGAGCAGAGCTGGGTGGTGGGATTTCTGGCTCTCACGTCAAGGTACGTCATACTGAGATCCACCTCATGTTGCACCACGCACATATCAGATGAGAGCAACTGGTGTCTGTTTATGAAGAGAGTAACAGATGTCTCGATGACATCAAGACATGAATACAAAGGCAAGATAAAATCTGTCACTGTTAAATAAAGTGCTCGCTTTACTAATCCACTACATTTGTCCATTATATGAACTCTTCCGTTGGTGTGTCAGGAAGAACGTTTCGTGTTCATAAAGACGTACAGACCAGAAGCATCAGATGAGTCTAGTCGTTCCAACAGTTGTTTTTGTTTAAAAGAAAAAATGTAATCCCATTCACTAATTACCGTAACAGTGGCCTTTGTGAACCCACACAATGGCATTAGTCTGATCTCTAAAAGGGGAAAGTGAGATTTACAGACACACTGAGGCGAACCGACATGCCAGTAAAAAGTAGGTAATCCAGACTGTTTTTTTCACACGGGCATTTACTTGCACAAACCAACATGTTTTTTATTCATTAAGATTACATTTTCCTCTGATATAAGCTTCTAAATCAGTATTAGTCTACAGTTTCAGGCTTGCAGCGCTCTCGGAAATGGCAGCGAATAAATACACTTTTAATAGTGTATACTGACATCACCTAATTAGTGCAGTTGATTCAGCAAACACTCTCTCGCAAACACACACCAACTTAATCTTGTGTGCCGAGAGGATTGCTACAGCTTTACATCAGCAAAGTTTCCATCAGCATCAGTGGATTAATTAAGGTATCAATATCCAAATAAAACATACGTAGCTTCATCCGGCAGGTGTAAAGACAGGTGTGTGTCAGCATAATCATCTTGTATGAGCCGTCTCTGACATTACCAAGTGAACACTGAACTTAACCAAGGCAGCCTTTTATTCAGCAAGACCCCCTTTGTCTGTTGTGGAGTTTTCTTTTGACAGGCACATCCATAGACAGTATAAAAGAAGTGGATGTAGCCTCCGGAAGTGCCTTGAACATGCATTCTTTCTAATGGCCAGCAGGAGGCGACTCCACCAGTCCAACAGGTGGAGGTTGAGGAAATGACACTTCCTCCTACTTGATTTATTACCTCACTAAACATTTTCCTACTGAGTTTATGATATCAATCACTAGTTTTACATCCTCTCCAATACAGCATAATTGTATGCTCCCATAGGGCTCCCCCTTAGGGCGTGGCTACCTTGTGATTGACAACTTGCTAGCATTGACGTGTCCATGCATTCTCAGATCCACCCTTCACTCCTCTACAGCTCCACCCTTTCGTCCATATATTGTCACTTCTGGCTCCGTAAATACAAAGATGGCCACAGACAAAATGCCAAACTTGAGGCTTCAAAACCGTAGTCCATAAACCACTGGGCTATGTCACAGTGGCTATGTCCACTTCTTTTATACAGTCGATGGCTGTATCCAATTAACAACATGCAGCTTTCACTTTATGGTTGTAAATTTGTATTTTTAAATACTTGCTCATCTTTAGCTACTTTATTTGTCCATGCAGAGAGATCACAGACACATGCTGGTGACTCTCATTTGATGTGCTGATATGTGAAGTCCTGATTAAATATTTGTCAGTCAAACTTTGTAGGTACAGTGACATCCATTGTCTGGTGAAATTGAGATTCTGCAGGTGGCAGTCTTTGTCCGCTGATGGCAGGTATCTATGTTCCTGTTAACTATTTGGTTCTTCTATTTATTTGAAACAAATGGCTACCACAGAAGCAAAACTATTGTCTGTCTAAAAGGCTAGAGGACTGCATATCATAACTTCTGTGTTTGCAAATGTCAGCACAGATTGTTCTTGCGATGCTCTGTATGTTTCTCAAACATTTATTTAATTTTTTAGAGTTGATTAAATACTTGTAGCCTAAAAACAACAGCACATGATGAGTGGTATGATTTGCTTAACGCTTGGTTGGATGGCACTGCACTCTTCATAGTGATGACTCAGCTATAGTAAAATGGTCTCATACCGTGTTGAAATAGCTAATTTTCTCCATGAGGTGTTTCCTGTGCCCCTCCAGACCTTTCTACATGAGAGCAGTCAAGTCTGCTCGAATAATCCCCAGTATGAGACGACCCCCCCCCCCCCCAAGGAAGTGAGCCAAGGTAAGCTGAGCTAAGCCACTGAGTGGGAAGAGAAGCAAACAAACTAAAGTTACAATGAAAATGTTTTCATGTTTTTTACCTTTTAATAAGTATTTTGTAACATCAAGAACTGCTGCAACATGAGTGGTTAAGGCCATCTTGATTCATGCAGCACATTTACACCAGATTTGGCAGCTATTAACTCTAAATAAAGCAGTGGCACGGAGGAGGGAAAGAGAACAATGCATCAAGTATAACAGTCTGACAATTTGTTAAAGCCAGCAGCTTTGGGTCTTTAATTAATTCAGCAAATGTTACAAGATTTTGTAGATTAGGAGCACAGATCCATCTCACGTTTGCCTCACAGCTTAACATCCCAGACATGAAGACCAACTTGGAGAGCAGTATGATATGCATGTATCTGACTGTGTGAATATGAGTGTGTGCATTATGTGTGTGTCAGGTATGAGTGCTTCACTACTATGTAAATCAGCTTGTTTTGAAAATCTCTTGCAAAGTTAAGCTGTCCCCCCTTTTCAGGTTCTCCTTAAGTTTGTTCGCCTGGAATGTTACAGCAGATTCATTTGCCTTACATATATGTAAATATAACATCAGACGACAGAGTATGTGTAAATATATATGGATGTTTGTGAATGCATCTATGCTCGGTAAGGAGACTTGTGTGCGAAAGTCTTTTCATGTGAAGCTGTCAATATGGCAATTGTGTTTGATTAAACAGACTTTCTTCATAGTGTTTTTACTGTTAGAGCCTTACTGTGCACTTTAAACACACCCAAATATGTCTGCATAACTGAATGTAACCTTTTGATTTACTCTGTTAACACACACTTTGGTTATAAAAAGGTAAGTTTACAAAAAAGAGCAAGGAGTACTACTAATACTACTAGACATGACAAGAGGAGCTGATGTTAGTGAGCAAATTCCAGACCAGAGGAACTTTTTCATAGTTCAAAGAGCCTCCCTTTTTGTTGTGTCCACACCGCGGGACTTTTTAGCTCCTACTGTATTTCAGAGAAGGTACCCTCTCAGCACAAGTGGAAGTGAGTGAGTGACATAAATGCATGTTGATTGGTCGAACACAGCCATGCCACCCCAGCAACCACCATTTAAAAAAAAAACATTAGCAGTGTAAACAACAGATAACACAAAAAACAAACAACAGCTCGTAACAAAAAAAAAGGAAACAGGAACAAATGGATTGACGGTGAAGTCCAGGCTTTACTGTGCATGTATGTGACGGTGGAAATACAACACCATATTGACTCATCAAAGCAAAAGTGATGTTGCTATACCAACCGCTGGCTGGCTTACAGCACATCACTTCTTTGTTCCTATTGGTGGTGAGAATGCAATGGGGAAAAAAAAGCCCTTAAAGGTATGAAATTTTAGGGGGAGCTCCCCAGTGGGCAGTTCCTCTCAGGAAGACCAAAAACACCTTCACTCTGTTATTCACTAACAGCCAGATGAAGCTCACCATTGTCATCCTGCTCCAGCCTGTATGCCAGATCAACCCGCCAAATCATTATGTGTGCAAGCGCCCTGTGTTAGCAGCTGCAGGTGTTTTTAGAGTTAATGTGTGCACTTTATATCTGTATATGCATTTATGAGAAGAACTCACCTCAGCTCTGTAGGGCAGGAACAGGGCGGAGGCAAGGTTTCCTGTGATACCACTGAGGATATAAATGATGGAGATACGGACCCAACCTGCCAGCTTCTCCAGGTCTCTCAGTATGGTCATCTGAAACACCACTGACACCACGCAGTGTAACAGCCTACATACACACACACACACACACACACACGAAAAGAATTAAACAGATGTGCAGTCTGCTGATATTTCAACCAGCACATTAATTCAAATATGCATGTTTATGTAAAATGCAATAGGGTTGGGATGATTCATGTCATGATTGACATCATAGATTATGGAAATACTTTAATTTGCAAAACATGCATCAGCACGTCACAATTAAGTAAGCTGCTCCTGGTCAAAGCATGGATAATTGTTTAGTGTAGCCCTTCACTGCAAACATCTGAAATGTTTCCTTTAAGCTTTCTTGGCCTGTTTTTTGCTTGTTTTAACAGCAGGGAATTCCCATGTGCCTAGAATTAGCACTAAGCATCAGTATGCATGTGCATGAGCAGCTCACGAGCACTGGGGCCTCATTTAGAAATATTTCATTTAGTTTGAATCCTGAAGGATGCTGACAATGAAACCACACTCAGTAATCATTGCACATGACTGAAACAGCTCATTGACTCAGTGTAATAGGCTTAACACTTGTCAAAGCATATTAAACATTCTCTGAACGCTATTTAGCAGTTATGAAGTGTTGCTTCTGCAGTGGCCACATCGATACTTGAATGGCTGACTCAGCAGAAACCCAGAAAACAAAACAAAAAAGAAACAATAAATTTAATAGCCCCAACTAAATGTGTGAAAAAAATTACTTTAAGAGTTAAATCTTTGTGTAAGGACATTTGTGAGGGGTGCGGTGCGTACCCAGCATGGAGGAAGAGAGAGAGCCAGAGACGGTAGAACTGATCAGGAACGTCAGGGTTGAGGAAGGGCAACAAGCCGCATACATCATCCAGACAGTGAATCTGTGTAAGAGTAATATATGGGTTCAGAAATACACTAACACATTGACTGACACACAGACACACACATAACACATGCGCACACACACTACCTGAGAGCAGAGTGTGGCCTCCTCGTGGAAGTAGCCATGCATGAAAGTGCAATATTCTCTGGTCGTGATCTCACATCTACAGGAGGGACAAGCAAAACGCAGTTCAAATATTCTCCAGATGACCTGGCATTGCATCTGATGAAGAAGTGGGGCAGTAGATCACGCTGATATCTGCAGGCCTTGAAGGCAGTAAACAACATACAGCCCACATGTCTCACCTGCCCTTAGTTCCTATGCAGCAAGGCCGTCCCTTGATGTTACAGTCCATGTGTTTGTAGCCTGTGTGGTTCCACAGCTTGGGAAAAGTACACACCTGGAGAAGGACAAGCAATGAGCCATTACATAAGACATAATATACAATAACCTTTATCTTTCTCTTACTTCCTGTTGTAGAACTCACACACACACACACACACACACACACACACACACACACACACACAAACAGAGTAGCATAGAAAAAAATATTTTGTTTAAATGAGAAACGCTAAAGTAGAAAATGAATTTCCAAATTAGTAGCAGTGTCCCTCACCGGCCACTTGGTGATGTCATCTGGCCATGTATGAGGCTCTGCAGAGGCAGGCTCTTCACACACTCTGGTCACAACATGCAACACACGAGGACAAGAATAACAAACAAACAAACAAAAAAAAGACTTGAAATGACAAGCAAAGTTTCACACTTAAAATCCATAATGACAACAAACTTGATTTATATTGTTACTTAAAGCCTTTACAAACCGGACTAAAGAAGAATTAATGACATCAAAGTGCAAAATACACTCCTGCAAATATTTTTCATACCAGCAGCTATTAGAATTTGTGACGGTGGCAACACTTGCTCAACAAACTGTTTTGATGTGAATAGTTTGGCAGTGATGCAAGTTTGCAACAACTACCAGGATCCTATTGACACAAAGCAGCATCTGTCAGTCTGTCTAAAGTAAGATGTTGTAAAGCCTGAGCTACTGTGAGCTTTTAATGAGGGTCCTTTCAGCAAAATGCTCTGAGTGAATCTGAGATCCCTCTGTTCAACTGTTACGTATAGGTCCAGGGATTTTACTGTGAAACGCAGGGAGGCGGATCTGGTATGTGCTGCCTTTGTCAAGAATGAAAGGAGTAATAGTTTGCTGTCTTGGTTTGGAATACAGGGCACAACATGATTTGTTGATGCCTTTATTTTTGGTGTGAAAGCTCAGAAAAATGTACCTCCTTTTGAAAACAACAACAACAAAAAAAAAAACAAAAAACACTTTTTCACCACGCAATATTCATGTTCTCTGTGAAAGTACCCATTTCAACAAATACACTGATACAAACATTGTATATGAGTATGTCACGAGGCACGTATTCTCACCTGGGATCCTGGTGACAGACAGAACCAGAGGACCTGCGGATGTCCACCGGCTCATTGTCCCATTTAATAAAGGTGGCCAGCGTTTCCTGCGTATAGTTATTTTTCAAATTCAGTCTTTATTTCAGAGAATAACAGGGGAAATAAAGAATAAACAGAAGAGTAATCACAGTTTAAATCGCAGTTTAAAAATATCTCTGTATGATGGAAAGTGATATGGTTCATTAAAATCTTACTTTATTAACTGTTTCATCACAAATGTAATTACTATAATCCTAAAAACTGCAGACGTATGCAAAGAATGGTGATAATGTGCTTACAGATTATCATCTCACATAGGATGGCATGTTGTTTCTATCACATTGGATTGAGTTTTTTTTAATTGCAATGTCTTGTGCATATTCACTGAATGTGTCTTGACCTCTTTCTCAAACCGAAGCTAAGTTTCTCATACTGACAAGCCAATATGGTGAAGTATTAAGGTGTAGGATAAACCGCTTACAGAGCAGTCGGAGCTGAGGGTCTGCACGCATCCCGCGTTGTCATTCTGAACGCAGCAGCCAGACTCTCTCTCCATATCTTTGGCCCTCTTGATCAGGCTAACTATCTGTGAGTCCTGACGGATGCACGGCGAGAACTTGGCCCCCAGGTGGATCAGGTCGTCCTGAAAAGTGGAGTAAATTATCGTAAAAATACACAAACCTGGCAACACATACATGCTTTAGTTAAGAGAAGAAAAACTAAAAACCCACTCCTCCTTACATGTGTTATTTCTGGATGTAGATTAGGTTCCTCAGTCTTTTGACAAGTCTTAAATATGTCTTCTTCACAATACTGACAACCTGACACTTTGTAAAGTAAAACCGCCTGTCGAATGCAGGAAATAAAAATATCTGTTTGATGTAATTTAGCTGACCCTAGCAAAGAGTCACTAAAAACAGTGTGGGCAAGAGGAAGGCTGGAGCTGGATGAGAGCAGCAATATGTGACAGGAAATGCAGCAAGTGTTAAAGTCACAAAGTAATGATGAGGGTGTGACCCTGTGTCAGGCCAAGCAAAAGCGTCAAAGAAAAAGGTGTTACCAAACAATACATCTGACCGTGAGCAAAAATAGAACTTGCACCCTCTTTCAATTGTGTTTTAAGTTTATGTTGTGTTTTCTTGTTTTGCTCTTTTACTTTTAAGGAGTCTATTGTAACATCTGGCCAGGGACTACAGATGAAAACTAGCCTTTTGGCTAATTCTGGCATATTTACAGCAATGTTCATTTCTATGCACTGTCCCTATCAAATAAACTAATAAAGTAACGTGAATATCCCCTGTTTAATTCACAACCTGTGCATTTAAGGACAGACACATCACTTTAAGAAGCAGTTCCCTTTGTTTTTTTCTCCATCAAGTCAAACATCTAATATGAGTGTTCACCTAGGCACACAGTGAAAAACATATTATGTAATACAGCAGTTAAACTGAGACCATCAAGAAACTCACAGAGCTTGGACCAATCCAGAAGTTTTCCTGTTGGATATACTTGACACTCTCGTAAATGCCTTTGTTCTTCAGCACCTACAGAGGGCGACAGAGTGATACAGTTAGAAACAGATCTACTGAGTGTGTAACATGTTAGCACCAAAACATTTAAAGCTCATTGTTCAATGTTGAAAACATTTTGTTTCTTAAATGCATCTTCTTGTTGGATAATTTGTCCTTGCTTGGATTAAAAAAAGACATCACTTTTATGTTGCTTTCAATATTGAATGCTTTCAGCCTTGTATTGATTGAGCAGTTATGAAAGTGCATCCAGACAGCATAGATTTCTACACAAAAAACATTAACCAGCCACTTAAGCATTACAGATAGCAGAATGTTTATGTCCTCTTGGTGGTAAAATGCAATTAATCGTGCCAAAACATTTTAAATTAAGTCAGTATTTCACAGTAAACCTCTATGTTTTGAGTTTGACTCACCAGCTCAGACGCAGAATGTTGTGCAAACCCCACAGGGGCAAAACCGTATGTACAACAGGCCAGCAAAGTGATCACTATATGGACAAATGTGATCCAGTAGGAAAAGTAGGGCCTAAAATACACAGCAGAGAACCACTGTAAATCAGGTGGAAGTCATGACTGACCAACACAAACTGTCAATCCTGGTGTCAAACATCACATTACAGGGAAGAAGACTATCTTCAGTTAAATAAATAGGCCTATAACACCTCTTTTTTACAAGTCTAAAATTTAACTTGTATATAACACCCACCTTCTCTCCACAGGTTTCATGGCATTTCTTACTTAAAAACTGCTCAAAAAAATTAAATGAAACAATAAAGAAGCTGATTTCCCTGCTTAGTCTTTTTTCTCAATAATCCACAAGTATGTCCATACAGTACTCATTCCTGACCTGTGGCTGTGGAAGTCGTCCAGCTGTTTCTGGATGTTGCTGCTGAGGCTGCGACGGTAGTTCCGGTTCAGCCACTTCCCCACGACGCCCATGCCGTACTGACGTTTGTGTTTGTCAAATGCAAAGTGCTTAACTTGGGAGGCGATGCGGCCACCCCGACGAGGACGGATCTTTTCAGGGGCTACTGGCGTCCTGGGCGTTTGAGACATGCCCTTACTGGGGCTGGAAGAAAAGCATTAAAGAAATGGAAAGGGGGCGAGAGAGAGGGTGAGGCATACGTGCTGCAGTGTTGTCTTTCTGGCATTTAAGGTTTGCATGAGGCGCGTCTACATTTAAAACAATGAATTTCAGGGTGCAAAAAACGCAGCATGTCTACGGCCCCTAAAGGCGTTTACATGTTTTTGGTTGTGTATTTACTTACAGGCCTTCGAACTTCTGGTCAGGCTGCTCACTGGGAGCAAACGCTGCAGACATGGGAGGTGACTCAAATACGTCATCAGCCATAGAGTAGAACTCATCATGGGCATCAACCTGTAGCAGATACCAGAGGGAAGAAATACAGGACACCTGAGATGATGAGCAGCTTCTTAATTATATCTGTCAAACACCATGTATTTTCATAGCTTTGATATATAGAGGATCAAGAGGGGGATAGAGGGTTTGACACATATATATTTATAAGATGTGAATGTATGGAAGATGGAAGGAAGATAGAAAAGAGGGATAAAGAAAGAAGAAGATGGTGGTTGCTGAAGAAAGGAGGCTGATGAGAGATTAGCAGTGACAGTGGAACACAGTGTTGGAGAAGTGTGACTGCTGACATGCACAGAAAGGGGAAGGAAGTAAGATTAAAAAACTGCTTAAGAAAGTCACAGCAACGAGAGAAACTGCTGCCAAGGCACTGACAGGAGGATAGAGAGAGTGGCTGCTGACCTTGCTGAAGAAGACCGACTCGGACGTGTCTGCGGAGTCCACGGTGTCCTCATCCATCCAGCTGGGCCTGATGAAGCTCCTCTTGGGGAAACTGCGACCTGTCTGGGAGCCTGCCAAGCCCTGACCCTGATCAACATACGCATAATAAGTTATTTTACATGAATAATGCTTATCAGATCAGTGCTGCTTTACTTAGAAATAAGGTTATAGTCATTACAACATGAAAGGTACAACTGCCCCCTCCCTATCTGGAACACATCCTAACACAGACAGAGGGTTTCTGGTACACCACCCACCCTCAGCAGGTTGGATGCAGCTCGGATGCTCATGCGGGCCACAGACTCCCTCTTACGCCTCGGGAAGCGGCTGTATCCAGAGCGCTGGCTGGTGAAGGAGCTGAGTGAGGTGACACCTGGGGTGACGGGACCCCCCTGAGCGGTGTGAGGTGTCCTGGGGGAGCGACCGTCCACGTCATCTGGGACACGGAAGGCTCGGCCCCGTGCCAAGGGGTCGACAATCTACCAAAAACAGAGATTAGGATCAACCTGACAAACATGACATTAACATAAATTTGTCAAAAACTTACTAAACATCTGAGTGTGACACTTTGAGAAGGAGCTGCTCTCTCATGTGTGTTCATGTAAGTTTGTAAAGACAAGAGAAAAAAAAACAACAACAAAACAACGCTGCTCGATTTAAATTCTTATCACTGGCCTCTCAGACAGCAGGAGATGCGAAGTCAGAAAAGCAGGTGATGAGGCGTGGTATCATTACTCGATACCTAGGTATTGACTGAAATAACCCAGTACCAAGTAAAATCAAAACTACCCTTCATCTCTTTTCTATCTAGATCTAGAAAAAACAATTGTATGGTTTTGCTCACAGCTAATCACCACAAACGTGCCTCTATTTGAGCAATTTGTGATTGGCCCACTACCGCAGCAGCTACAACCCAAACAGTCTGCGCTGTGGTGAAGTCGAGCACAGTGTATTTGGCAGAACTGGCAGTTCAGCATGCCGAGATGCCTCCAAAATGTTCAATAGTATGGCTACACTACATGCCTGTAGTACAAAAATAAATGTATCAAATATCAAGTACTTGGTATCAGTATTACTAAAGGTAAGGTAATTTTTTAGACGACACGCGGCCATAGCAGGTGAGGGTAGGCACAAGATAAAGAAAGAAAGAAAGACAAAACACTGGATGGTGAGAAGTGCTGTCTGACACGGCCTGGAGTAACATAATTCATCTGGGGCACAGATGGTCCGCGTCTGTCACCGTACTGTGCTCTACTTTATTAAAGCCAGGCACATTTTTCTCTCTCCTCACAATCTTCTTCTCTTACCATTGATTTTTCCTCATGTCCTTCCAGAGAAGCCTCTCAGTGTCGTGACGTTAAACCACACAGGTGGGGAAATTATTACTAGTATCAGTTATTACTTACTGACTGGTTGTGAAATTAAATGGAAACAGGAATTCTCAGTGGACAGACCCCATGACTAGAGCCTTCTGAGTTTCATCCTATTGCTTTTTGCTGTCTGTGTAACTTATTTCCATGGTAATATATTCTGGTCTATTCATGCAATAGCATCAGGGTACTAAAGGTTTTTCTATGTTTTCTATGTTGAATAGAACCTTAATCAGGATGTGAATTAATGGCTGGGTTAGAGTGTGCAGGTTAAGCCACACAGTGATCATATGTCTCTCTTGAGAGTAGACTACCTTGGGCATCCTGCTTGTTGCTGGTGACTCCGGGCCTTGGTCAATGCTGGAAGCCGTCTCAGGCTCTCTATACTGGGGCTTCAGCTTGCCGTAGCGCTGGCTGCAGTGGCGCAGGCTCTTCCTGTGCCATACCTGCTGCTTGGTCTCACAGTCTTCCCCAACTCCAAACCACTGGGCTGTGTTCCTACAGGCACAGAATGAAGAGGGTGGCCTCAGTATTACAGTAGGGATGGGCATTTTAAGTAATTTCCACATTTGAGTACTCGTATTAGAATATTATAGAGAACAAAGATGGAGAGAGAAAAAAAGTTAATGTTCTCTGCAGCACAACAGTGTGTGCTTACACTGCTAGCACATGAAGTGATAAGAGAGCCTGTAATCGGTCATCATTGTTTTCCTGTTGCGCTTGATGTGCAAATAGTCACTCATCATTTTAGTTATATGACATGCAATTATGTCATATAACTTGCACTGCACAATTCTTTATTTTGTCAAAATACTTCCGATCATCACTGTTAGGCTTGGTCACCATTCTGCCTCAAACGTTAGACTGAGCGATGTCTGACTGAAAATGTTGAAAATGATCTGCAGCTAGGTTTGTTTTTGCAAAGCGGTAAAGAAAAATCTGATTACTCTGTATTTTGAACGAATACTGACATCCAAATCGAACACTCAAGTACAAACTGGGGAACTTGCACATGCATTTGTTGGGTGAATGACCTGTAGGGCATAGCACTTGCATTTCTTGTATAATGTTTGGTGAGGGGTGCCTTGCTGATTCTTTTTTTTTCCCCCAAGGGCTGATGACCTCGCTAACTATTTATGTGTTGTGGGTCTTGAATTAAAAATGGCTTCAATCAAGCAACCTGAATGTTGAGCAACATCAACAAACACACAATAATCATGACTGAAACAACAAACTCATCATCTTACCTGCGGATGCTTTGTGAGAGCGACGTTTGTCTTCCAAACTTTGACCTTCTTTCTCTGAATGAGAAGCCTCCATCTCCCGCTCCATCTCTGGCTCCACTGAAGCTCTCGGACACAGAACCGGTCGCTTGACCACTTGCACTTTTTTTCAGGGACGGGCGTAGTGGCTGTCCAGAGGAAAGGAGAAATACTGTTACAGTAATTTCTGTCACGGTACAATAAATATGAATAGTGCCTACACAAAGTGGAAAACTGAGATTTTAATTTGTGTTACAATTACAGTCGTAGGATTATTGCAATAACCTAATTAAAGTAGCAGTAGTGCCATCAGCAGCATGGGTAATTATAAAGGTCTACAGTACTTTACTGGCCAATTAGCAGAATAAAACACAATAATTATTGCAGGACTGCAGGGAACATCACTGATGAAACTATTATTAAAAGATAAGACTGTTAAGAAAGTAATTAGGTAATTATTGTAATGACTACAATACGGTTAGTGACAAGACTAAATCCCAGTATTGAGATATCTGGATGAAGTGCACACTTAATGCGGACAGTCAATATTTTGTATGGTTAGGTATTGCTAAAAGGGCTCTGCTCTCTTAAACACCTACTTGTGTATTCTGTTTATAGTGTTCCTCAATTATGGGGGGTGCAGTGATTCCTGTGAGAGTCCATTATCCTAACCTGCAGTGACTCTGCAGTTGGTGAGGCTAATGGTGGTGTCACTCTGAGAGTTAATGGGGCTTGAGGCAAGCTGTAAGTGAGCTGTATGTTCAGATTGTGGCTCAGCTTGTCGAAATAGGAGGATAAACTGTTTCTGCCACCTGAAAGCCACTATCAAAAATTCTGGTTGCACGTATGAAGTCTATTATCTTGAACACTTTATGCAGGATTTGTGCACATATATCTCTCTATAGTCTAGATAACAATATTAGCATCAGTAAATCAAGAGTAAATGGTGTGGTAGACTGACTTTTCGTAGATAGTCATATTTAATAGAAACAACGACTGACAATAACAGCGCATGCAGTATTAGACCTTGCAAATTTCCTTACACAAGTTGCAAAGCTTTTCCATATGTAGCATTATTCAAATGTTCCTAGTAACAGAAATAACACAGTTAGAAGCCTGAGTCGGGGGCATCTTTCTGCTTCTTCCTCTCTCTATTATAACAACCAAAGCTACAGTACGTGCCTGACTTCACTCTTTATTTGCATCTTTATTACACTGGTTGCTTGTTGGGGACAGTTTAACTGTAGCATGCTCAATTAAACTCTGACTGCCCACTACTCTGTGTAGCTGAAATGCCATCGTTTGTGTTCAGGCAATGGGGCTCACAGGGGGAAATTGTATGGCCTTGTGTCCAATAACTGAAAGGCAGCTGTCCAAAATGCCTCCATGCCTGAGCAAATGGCAAATTCAGAGGAACAGAGGGAGAGCATGCTACCCCCATTAACATCTTTTTTTATCCCTTTTGAACCTTTAAAAATAAAGTACTGCGGCAAGTGTTTTTTTTTTCTCTTCTCATGTATGTGCAAACGGGCGGCACGGTAGTGTGGTGGTTAGCACTGTCGCCTCACAACAAGAGGGTTCCCGGTTCGATCCCGGGTGTGGGAGCCCTTCTGTGTGGAGTTTGCATGTTCTCCCCGTGTCAGCATGGGTTCTCTCCGGGCACTCCGGCTTCCTCTTTCTTCCTTCCAAAGACATGCAGATTGGGGACTAGGTTAATTGATAACTCTAAATTGTCTGTAGGTGTGAATGTGAGTGTGAGTGGTTGTCTGTCTCTATATGTCAGCCCTGCGATAGTCTGGCGACCTGTCCAGGGTGTACCCTGCCTCTCGCCTTATGTCAGCTGGGATAGGCTCCAGCCCCCCCGCAAGCCTCAAGAGGATGAAGCGGTTAGAAGATGAAGATGAAGACTGCAAACTCTGAGTCAAATGATTAGAAGGCAGGGCATCTCCTTCCAAAGAGTCCATCAACCCCCGGGCGCTAAATGACTTGCACTAACACCTGTAAGGGTGTGAGGGAATATTAAAAGCTTTTTTTTAGGCTTAGCTTCCAATGAAATAAACTCAAGTTCCCGTGATCACTGCTGAGCATGTTTTTGTCCAAATTCAACCTTCTGATTAGGGCTGGGTATTGGTACTCGATACCATTAAGGAATCAACCGAAATAATCCACTAACAAGTAGTACTGGAACTTCTCTAGTCAGATCTAGAAATAAAATACTTAGTTATATGGTTTTGCTTGCAACCAAACACCATAAGCGTTCCTCCACTTAATGCCTCATGTGTTTGGTCCACTACCGCAGCTCAGCAGCTCCAACCCAAATGGTCTGTGGTGTGGTGAAGTCTAGTGTGGCATGTTTTAAGGAGTTGGCAGTTCAGTGTGTTGAGATGCCACCAACACATTCAAAAGTATAGCTATACTACTAGCCTGAGTGTCAGACTGAAGCTCCCAGAACCTTCAGTCTGACATGGCTTCCATTGAAGGCGATTTATAAGGGGGAGGGAATTTGATTTTTTTCCCTAACCAATCAGTAGAGATCAACGACTCACCCAGAATCTGACATCATTAGTATCCATGCCTCGGGGGTGCCGAAAACAAGCGAGCATTGCCCGTTTAAAATGTCTCCATCGTTGTTCACGCCCAGCTGCATCGCCGTTAAATCCAGTTTAGCAGCTTCCTTAATTTGGTCCTCCATTAACGCGAGTAGTGGCGAAATACCTCGATAGCATCGTTAATGTGGTCTGTAGGATCTGTAGCGGTCGCCATTGTTGCTATCCTCACCAGTTACCCACCGGTGTACAGCTTGACATCAGCGTGGCGCTGATTGGCTAATCGCTAGACCCCCGGCGTTCATTGGTCCGTCCAGCGTTTGGACGAGATAAATCGCAAATTCATTGAAGTATGCCAGACCAGAGATGCAAGCCTACTCAGTTGAGTGGGCGGGGTCTATGGTCTGGAACCATGCTACTATACTACATGTCTGTGCCATTTTACACAACTGAATGCTTCCATTCACATAAACAAATAAATAAATAAAACAAAGGTATCAAATGAAGGGTGCTGGTACTGGTATAATAATCTTTCAAACAATACCCAGCCTCACTTCTGATTGTACTCTAAATCAAAATACTGAGCATTTCTTGAGTTAAATACCCTGACTGATTTCAAGCTTTTTGACTTTAAAAGCTTAAAACTATTAAGGTGACTTACTAATCAATCACCTGGCTGACAGTTTTGGAACTTCTTGTTAAAGAACAGCAGTCTTTATTGCATTCATGGTCTGCATGTTGTGTAACAGAGACTGCAGCTTACGGGTGCTTTAAAAAAAAAAAAAGTTTTATTGACTCAACACACATGGGAAAGTGCTTAGCACCAGCACTAAGAGAGGAAGTGGTTAGTCATTGTGATAACACATTTTTTATTGACAATCTGTCCCAAGAGGCCAAGCTGTGAAACACAGGGTCAAGTTAAAACAGTCAGACTACCTGTTTTGCAGGGTCGTGGGACATCATCTCCTCAGGCGGTGGGATGGCTATTACAAGGCTGGGTGGCTTCTTGCTCTTAAGTCGGCTATCTGGTTGACCTCTGTTTGGAAGAGGCTCCTCCTGCCCCTGTGATGCCATCCTGTCAGAGTGCTGGAGATGAGAAAAACAAGATGATGTCATTCAAAAACATGACTGAAACATGAATTTCACATAAGAATGGTTTACAATTGTTATACTTAATTTACTTATAGTAAATACATTTTACATGCACCTTCAAATTCTGGCTACTTTTTTATTGATAAGGTACAAGCTTACTTTTCTGTAATAAGATTAGATATAATCTCTCTTTTTACCTTGGATTTAAACAGGATTACTGTTTTGTTGACAATAAATATGAAAAAATATATTCATAAAAAATACTTTTTTGAAGACAAGACAAACAAAAACTATGACTAATAGTCTAATAGTCTATAGTTATGATGACAATAGCAGATGACATTTAATACTTTTGCAATGAAGTATGAAGTCACTAGTACTGCTAAAACATGTAGCCTATTTTTACTAGTGAATGCATGTTGATATAGTAGAAGTATTGCTATGCTTTCATGTGAACTGGATCTCTTGAGCAGGGTGAAAATCTTTAACCAAGCTCAATTCACAACTCACAAGACATAGGAGCTAAAAAAAGAAACAAAACAAAAAGAAAATGTTTGTGTATCAAGTCTTTCTTGTGTGTGTGTGTGTGTGTGCGCACGCGCAGAGGACCCACCCTACAATAACTCAAAGGAAACTATTATAGCTAATCCAAACAAACAGTCTTTGTAACAGCAGCTGGCTCTCCTCCAGTTCAATCTGCTCCAACATCATTGCCAACTTCCCTCGCTTTTTCATTACCTTTACAGGCAATTTGTTAAGTGAACCTTAAAAGGCTCTGCATTCAATTCCAGCAGATGAGAAATGGTGTTATATCAAAGATAGTGACTGCGTCTAGCTACACAGTGCTTAGATCATTGATCCAAGTTAATGTAATTATAAGGGAAGAAATGAGAGGAAAGTAAGAGGATGTGTCTGTCAGAATGTTCCATTGCCTAGTCCACACATACACAGGTGAAAACGAAGCTTTGTCTATGCATTTTGTTCTTTCATCAAACGTATTCAGAAGCTTAGTTTCAGCATTGACATTAAGACAAGGAAAACTGATTTTTAGGCTTGTAATGTCAGAGTGTGTGCCGTTATCTCTTTTGTGAGGCATCACAATTTTGTGCAATAGCCGACATGACGAAAATAGTGCTGGCTTTGACCTTGCTAACAGAACTTTGTACGTTTACACATAAATGTACAGCTATGCTTCGACTATATTTAGGAACAGAGGCATCCAGAAGCGCTTCAAAGGTCACTGCTCCAGGTAGCCTTCTGTTTAAAGGTTTTCTTCAGGCTTCTGATTGGCCAACATCTTCTTCTTCTTTGCATTGCGTAAGCGTTAGCATGCTCTTGACAACACTTCAGTTGTGTTTTTTCCTTTTCATTTGAATGATAATGTTTTTGTAACAGTCCCTGTGTCAGGATTTTTTTTAGAACGAAGGAGGGGGAAAAAAAATTGCCATATATGTGTGGACTAGCTTGAATATGTGCCTAAAAAATAAACAAACAAACCAAGGTACACAAATAATTAAACAATATTACATTTCTGTCATTACCTACAATCTTCTGATAAGAAAGAGTAAGTGGTAATAACAGTGCAAACATGATCAAATAAACAGTTTAATTCATTTAAGTGTATTTACATGTAATTTACATTTAGATTTAATTCATTACATTTAATAAATGTATTTAATTTGAAAGTCTCATGTAATGATTTATTTGCCTGTGAAAATATTGAAGTTTCTAACCTAGGGACCTGGAGTGGGTGATACAGATACCGTGTGTGGCATTTGCAATTGTATATTATAATAGTGCTAAGTTTATCAAGATATAGTTCATTTTTTTGGAATTTCATTCATGAAACTATTCAGTGATAAAATAACCAGATGCACAAGTATTCCTTTGTCAATCCAGTGAATTAAATATTTGACAAATCAATGCATTTCATCACATTGATGCAAAAATTGTTTAAGTAGACCTACCCTGTTAAAATAAAGGTTAAATAAATAAAAATAAATAAATAAGTATAATGCCAAAAAGAGTCCTGCTTACTGATTTTCAAAATTGCCCCCAGAGCAATATTAAACAGAGATAGCTTTCTTGGCATAAACCATACAGCAAAATCTCTCTATTGACTGATCATTTCATGATACACAGCATCAGTCATACAGCACTGTCGAGCCTGACCACAGACTGAAGAATACAAAAATTACGTTAAAAAATTCAAAATTAATTCAAGGGAACTGGTTAGCCAACTAAACACATCAGAAATTGATTCTGCAGCACCTAGTGTACATGCTTGGACCACTAATGAAGAAGCAACTGATACACCAGCTGTTGGGAATGACACCCGATGACATCAGATGACAGAGATCAATAGTGCTCTCAAATCACCATTAATCCTCCAGGTGGTTGGTAATCACTATCCTTTTCTTCTACTTGAACTGAAAACAGCCTTGCAATAAGTCTTATTGATTACATATAATAGTGGTGATTAGTAGTTGAAGCATCTTCTACATCCAGATTAATTCCAGATTGCTCTGAATAAGATCATCGGTCTATGTCTGAAACACGTTTTACAGCTATCTATTTATGAATAACTACCACAGTACCGGCAGCATGCCTCAAGATCACTGTGTCTTACAGTCAGTGTTTACAAACAGAAACTCACATTAACTGAACTACATCACGTGTGTGTGAATTCTGCACACTTCAGACAACACAAATAACTCAAACATCATATCTGCAGTCTTGTCATTTGAGTTGGTGTAATTAGATTCATAACCAGCCTCTCTGTTTGCACAGGGGCTAAATATATTGTTAAACTTACTTATCTCCGTCTTCCAGTCTTTACCAATCAGAGTCAACAGCGAAACAACCAGCCAGTCTATTCCTGGAGCTCAGAATGTCTCGTAGCATTACACTGAATAGTTCCAGAGAAATCAAAGGCATTGCAGACATAAACCTATAATGTCACAGGCCTTGGCCAACACATCCATTATGTCATTATGGTCTTGAAAGCTTTGAAGTTGTCCTGGAGTTGTGGTTTATAAAATCAATGCGAGACCCTGGGTGTCTGCGGCAGGAATGGCAGCAGCAGGGAAATCCGACACCAGCTCAGTCAATAGCCTAGTTTCCACTACAGAGCCAAGAGACACAGTTAGACAGGGCTTTACATATTGTTCATGTCACTTACTCCGCCCCCACCCCCCAAAAAACAGCATTTCTATAATGCCTTTATGCTAATAGGGGTTTATATTTCAATTCTGACAACAGTGTTTTCAATTACGTGTTATAAATATTTTAGGTTTGGACAGAAATCCTGATTCAGTCCTCTTGAGACAGAGAGGAGGGTACTGGCAATCTAGCCTGTGGTTTAGAAGAGTAGTAGGGGCTGGAACCCACCCACATAGATAATGAAATAGCTAAGAATTTGGCTAATGGACAGAGTGCTCAAGTGGCGGAGAGACTGCTGCTGACCATAGCTTATCAATGAGGCAGTTGTTAGGATCCACATAACTAATGGGAATGGATAGACAAATTGTATTCTCCAGAGGAAAGACAACAGAGATAGAAACAGAGATAGAAACCTTCAGAATATGAGGCACTAACCAGGGACAGGGAATATTTTGGTTTATGGAGTGCCAAATGGTATAGGACCAAATTACATTTTTGATCTTATGCTACATTATGAAGCATCTAGACCTCTCAGGTCCTCTGGGACTGGTTGTGTCCCTAGAGTCAAAATTAAACCCGGAGAGAGAGTTTTGTTTTTATGCACCACATACCTGGAGCAAACTCCCAGACAACTGCATCTCTGCTGCCACTGCCATTCGTTAAATCAAGTAATTATTAATTTCTTACACTGCACTCTAACTTTTAATCTTGCTTTAATCATTCTTTTAAAGTTCTTTTTCTACTCAATTAGCTTTACAGTAACTGTTTTTAATTGTATCTCAATTACCTCATATAATGTATTTCTTTAGTGTATTGTCTTGATACTTCTGGTGTTTTGTGTAAAGCACTGATTCCCAACTGGTGGGTCTCGGTCCAAAAGTGGGTTGCTGGTCCATTCTGAATGGACTGCAAGTGACGCTCGAACATGTCAAGTTTAAAAAAAAAAAAAAAAAACATTTTGAAGTACAGTCAATTTCTGGCACTTTTGAAGTGCTGTTTCCTGCTGTAGAGTGAGTTACTAACAGACAGCTACTTGACAGAGACAGCAAACTAGCTCAACGACATGGCCAAACACAAATATGATGCTGAGTATATTAAACTGTGTGGACCTTGAACTCACGACTAAGGAGAAATCTTGACCCCGTGGCTGGACCAGTCAGAAAGCACTTATGTAAAGCACTTTGAATTGCCCTGTTGCTGAAGTGTGCTATATAAATAAACTTGCTTTGCCTTTATATTTTTTTGTTAAAAACATGCATCTCGATACTCGGCTCTCTTGGAGTTATACATATTTTCAAAACAATATTATAATGGCAACCTAAGAGTTGTTTTTTTTTTTCCAAAGAAAATAACAATAACAGGTGGCATGATATAGTGCATGTGCTTCAAACTAATAAACAGACCCAGGGCCAAGATCCTCCCTGCTAGACCTTTTTTACGACCCCCACCATGTTGGAAATTTGCACATTTAACTTTATGCAAGCAGCACCTCATTGTGTGAACAATCATTTATTTTTTAATCAAGTTTAATGTGCCTGCACCGTGTCTTATCTGCGAGGATAATGCTGCCAATCTGCAGGAATACTATCTCGTGTGGCATTAATCTACACATGCCACTCAAGGCTAATATTGCTTAAATGTACTGTTGAAAAACACAACCGAAAACAGTGGAGTTTGTTTTTCTCAGACGGTTCAAGCGGTCCCCCAAGGATAAAAACAATGTGGCTAGTAGCCTCTGGGAAATTGAGTTTGAGACCCCAAATATAGAGCATGGAGATGAATTCAATCAACAGCATGCAACTCCCTGATGATGAGTGTGTATAAATAGTATCTACTGTTATGTGGTGCCATCTCTTTTTTTGAGCTAATTTAATATTCTGATTTGGTCAATGACCACAGTAGTGTTTACAGATGAGACGAAAATACAGGCAGAAAACTGACGAAGACACGTTTCTACAGGTGTTATGCAGCAAGCCTGCTCTGACAGACAGTTGATGCCACCGACAGGAAAAATATCTGAGGAATGAGTTCAGTTATTTTTACTGAATCCATAACCATGATTTCTCCCAGCTGTGTCTAGCAATGATAGTACCAGCAGGCAGCACCTCCATGGGGACATGTTTGCTAAATAAATATGGATCATTTCTTTCTAATCATAAACCATCCGTGCTCTCTCACTAGTACTAAACACATCTAATTAATCTGATGGTTTATTTTTAAATGTAACGAATGGGTTCTGGTCAAATCATATACAGTATATCATTCTTCACTTGTGTTTCTCTAACCATGGATGAAATGATATGAAATGAAAGGTCAAGGTCAGCTGAAGTTCAGCTTAAGCTTACTGAGACAGGACAGGATATAAAAAGGGAAAAAATAGAGGAAACATTGGGAGAGACAATCCAATGACTCCCCACCCTCAGTTGTGTCAAGTGAACCTGTGAACTCATTCACTGCGGTGCGGTCTCAGATCCCAAAGAGTCATGTGTCAGAGAGCAAAGAAGAGGCATGTCCACAATGACATCATCCATAGCTAATGTCATCACATGACATGGAAAGTACCATTTCCAAGAAGTATCTGTGCCTCTTGAGCATCTAACAATTCACCGGTTCATCTAAAAAGTCCATCGCTTGACCATTAATCAGCAGGACTGTGCTGTCACTGTGTGTTAACCACCTCCTCCTCTTGTGTTTGGTGGAATCACATGTCCCTCAGAGAGTGTGTCACCATGTCACCATGGTTCAGTCTCTTCCCCCTGGGAGAGGCCTGCCCTGTGAATGTATCGGTGTGTTTGTTTGAGCGTGTTCCCATGATGCTCAAAGCAGAGTTATACCCTGTGAAACTGGAGACAGGCTAGACTGAGCTCATTCACTCAGAGCTGTATAGTTTTGTAGAGATTTACCCTGTTGGAAATGCAGTCAGAACAAAATGTCCTCATTTTGTAAACTCCACACAGAACCGGCATGTATGGGTGTAGGGAAGATATCATGTTTCATCTTCTGCCACACTCACTCTACACAGCAGTTGACTGACTCGATTTGGACCAAGCGCACTGTTGTGAATTATGTTTAGTGTAGGCAGCCCTTGACAAACATACCAAAGGTACCGGTGGGCTTTTCCAGGCTATTAACATAAGTTTAAATGCTGTTATATTGATTGACAATAAACAAGGTTAGAATATTGTAGAATAGCGCTGCTTGATATGCAGAAAATGTCATATTGTAATTATTTTGATGGATATTGCGATCATGATTTAAGTGGCAATGCTCATTTTTGCATTTTATTTGAACTGAAATAAATGAATAAATAAAAATGATGATGATGTGATTTTTGCTGGGTTCTGTCCAAAACAAGCTTGTTCTCTCATGTCTGCAACATGATTTGTAGGCTGGGGCACCACTGTAGCACCACAATGCTTCATTTATAATGGTATGTTGGGGCACATTTTACCTTCATCAAAAAACTGCAGCTCCTGCTGTTTGGATATTATACTTGGCCATACTGGGATTTTGAGAATTTTTCGATTAATTGTGCAGCCCTAGAGTAGAAACACATGCTGACTGTAGCAAACCAAACACCATGATTACATATAATTAGTAGGTAGAGCTAGTCCCATATATTTTCTGTTTCTCATATAAAACCATCAGCTATGCCTACTGCGAGAGCAGCCACACTGTTTTACTCACTGCATATTTTTGGAATTCTTCTCACATCTGAGCCAAGAGTATTGTTGAGAAACTACACTATGCGCCTCCACAGCAATACAAGGCTTGTTGATGCTGCTTACTGTGTAAAGAAAAGAGTGAGTCTCACTGAACTCAAGTGTTGTGTGTGCCAAGCTCAGCTTTTTTTCTACTTTTCCATTTTAAGCATTTACATGACTCTTCAGAGCAACTTGTAGTAGCCCAGAAAACATTCAGTCTACTTCATGGGTGAAAGTAAGCAAGATTCCTGACATGTGTTACCACTTGCAAAACCAGTTTTCATGCTCAAACATTATAAAAGCGATGATAACTCTGAGTCAGGAGGTACCTATTTAACAAGTCACATTATAGCACCTCTGACACTGGTGTGAATGTGTGACCTGGGCTCCAGACAACATTGCACAACACCCTTCCCTTATGTACAGAAATGTAAGACTTGACTTATTCACACGTTCTTTAATTACAGTAATCATGAACATTTACCTCAACATAACTGAGCCCTCTACAATGATACAATTCAACACCGAATGAGTCATTTTGAGATTAGCATTATGAATAAGTCCATCATTATGCTGAGCATGTCCACAGCGGAAGTAGCTGTTGTGGTCTGCGCTGTTTTGGGGACTTATTCTGAAACTGTTTGAGGCTAAACGAGGAACTGACCTTCAGAAAAGTGCCACATCACTTCTTTTTCTTCGTTACATCCACCAAGTTTGCCTTGTAGATCCTGACAAGGACATATAAAAAAAAAGCATGAATAACTGTTTGCTTACTGTGACTTTATTCAAACTATTCAAACACATGTACCATAAAATTTAAACTGCAAAAATTCTCATAAAGCTTTATAAATGCAATGAGTGTTGTTCAGGTTTGCCAATAAATATCTCTCAAAACACCATCAGAGAACATTCACGCGCAGACACAGCAATCAAAAATCCATTAAAGATAACTTCACACATGCAATTACTCAGAGGCTTACAGCGCAAGTGTGATTAATGAAGCATCAGTGCAATGAGTAGTGAGGAATGAAAATTAGTTGGAAGTGTAACCGTTTCATGATAAAGATGGAGGACAGCACTGAGGATTGAAGTGAGTACAAGTGCTGGTGTTCAGACAATGTTCACATCCTCACACAGACTCTATGTCTCACACACTCACTCAGTGTGTGGACAACTACGGCAAGTGCTAATTTGTATGTGGGACTTGACCACG